CACCTATATTATTCACAATGGCCCAAAGGTAGAAGCAATGCAAATGTCAGTTGACAGATCAATAGATGAATAAAATGCAGTATATACATATAATGTAATATTATTCATCCCTAAAAAGTAAGGAAATTCTGACACATGCTACCACACGGATGAAACTTGAAGACATTATGCCAAGTGAAGTAAGCTGGTCACAGCAAGACAAATGCTATATAGGGGCGCCTGGGTGGCTCAGTCGGTTGAGTGTCTGACTTCAACTCAAGTCATGATCTCACAGTTTGTGGGTTCGAGCCCCGCATCAGCTCTGTGCTCACAGCTAGCTTGGAGCCTGGAGCCTGTTTTAGATTCTGTGTCTCCCTCTCTCTCTGACCCTCCCCTGCTCATGCTGTCTCTCTCTCTCTCTCAGAAAGAAATAAAACATTAAAGAAAAAATTTTAAAAAAAGACAAATGCTGTATAATTTCCCTTACAGGAGATATCTAGAGTAGTCAAACTCATAGAAACAAAGTGGAATGGTGGTCTTACCAGGGGCTACTGGAAGGGGGACCCTGGGAGTTGTTCAGTGGGTATGGTTATGTTCAGTTTTGCAAGATGAAAACATTTCAGAAACTGGCTGCACAGTAATGCAAATATACTTAACACCACTGAGCCATACATTTAAAAATAGTTAAGATAGTAAATTTTTATGTTATGTGTAGTGTATTTTATTGCAACTAATTTTAAATGTCAGGGGCGCCTGGTTGGCTCATTCTGTTGAGTTTCTGATTCCTGGTTTTGGCTCGGGTCGTGATCTCATGGTTCATGAGCTTGAGCCCTGTGTGAGGGTCTGTACTGACAGTTTGGTGCCTGCTTGAGATTCTCTCTCTCCTCTCTCTCTCTGCCCCTTCCCTCCCCCCTACTCTCTCAAAATAAACTTTAAAAATTTTTAAATGTCAACGAATAACTCTAAATATTAATGAGAACTGAAATTTAAAAATACACTTGGAAACAGTCTGAACCATATATATTTTTTGTCATTAAAAGTCATTGGGGTCCTTAATTTCAAGTGGGACATGGCTAGTTGAAGAAAATCACATAGATGTATGATCCAAAGCTGACTAAACAGATAACCAGATGTCTTCAAATAATAACTATAAGGTCCCAATGGAGTTCCCTTCTTGACTTTCGGGATATAAGAGGAAAACTGGGAACTGCCAGACTACAAAGACGCTTCTGAGAGGAGGATTGACATGTTTAGGTGTATTCTTCGTATCAGCGAAATTCAGCATACAGTGTACAGCATACACTTGTAGGATTTGTAACTATGATGTGCTGGTTTTTGACAATGAGTACTTACAAGGGAATAAGAATGGAAAAGTGGTTAAACTGTTTGATTGAAACTTTTCTATTGTCATTACAAACCCCTTTCTGGGCAACTGTGTTCCATGCACATCACAGCAGTTCTGCCTTTCTCTTTTCTTCTCCAGCTCCTGGCCATCAAACCCACAATTTAGTAAAGGAACTACTTGCTTACTGTTTGTTTCAAAGGACTCCATATTCTTAGGAGCTAGAAGTCTGACTATGAAAAATTAAGCCTTTGTCTCATCCCAACCTATCCTCATTATAATCGATGTCTCTTCAGAAACAGAAAGCTCATTTCCAAAGACCAATTTGAGGCCGAAGAAGGTGAGTTACTGCAACACTGATCTGTCAAAATCATACCTTCTCAGAACTCGTTCCCAGAGTTCTGTCAAAGGAAATCTGAAAAGGCAGCTGGTCAACCAAGATACTTCTGAGAGTGTTTTCTAACTGTAGCATTCTTTGCAAATTTATTTTATTTTTTTGATAACACTGAATATTTGCTCATATAACTTTGTTTTTGCTTTTGTTTATTTTCCTGTCCTTCTTCCTCCTCCTCCACTTCCTCCTCCTCCTCATTCTTCTGGCTTACTTTTTACTTCCTATCATACTGTATGGAATGCTTGTGGTGATGAGTTCAGTATTTCTCTTATTTTGGTGACCAGCAACGCTGAACTTCCGTAGGTGTAATTTTTTGTGATAGTAGTAATATAGTCTGTTGCCTTTTCACTGCCCTCAACTGAACTACTTCTGTGTCTCAGTAGTTACTGCTTTTAGGCAAATGAGTGGAAAGCCAGGCTGACTCCAAGGGTCATGGAGATAGACATAGTTTTGTTGAGGTATTTTCTCTGCCAACCCCCAGATCACGGGGAATTTCCCTACTGAGTTGGTTGGGATTCTAGGTCAGCTAGTTTCTGCAATAGGGAGTGGAGGGGGAAAATGAGGAGGGAAGAAAGAAAAGGCAGGTGTTTATAGAGTTATGTCAAAAAATGTTGTTGCTTTTAGGAAATTAAATTACTCTAATTAGATCTTATGATCTTATACTTAGAATTGAATTACTTAACTAACATACTAAAAGAAAAACAAGTGGGCCAAGCGGATTTCTTATTCTCCTAGGGTGTGGACATATTATTGCTAGCTTCATTCTCTTTTACCTGCTCCCAGGTGCACGGCTGCTTTTCATGACTCTAGTGAAAAGTGGAGAAGTGCTGAGCTCCAAGCTTGCTCTTTTAAATGGGTGACAATTGTTTGTTCCTTAAGAACTTTGTTGACTTTCAAGTAAATGTGAGAAGGCTAATGGCAAGTGGGTACATTAAGAAAAATATATTTTAAAAATTCTTTTAATCTTTATTTTATTTTTGAGAGACAAAGTGTGAGCGGAGGAGGGGCAGAGAGAGAGGGAGACACAGAATACAAAGCAGGCTCCAGGCTCTGAGCTGTCAGCACAGAACCCAATGTGAAGGTCCGACTCACTAGCTGCGAGATCATGACCTGAGCTGAAGCCTGACACCCAACCAACTGAGCCACCCAGGCGCCCCAAGAAAAATATTTTCAACCGGCAGATTTTATAACCAATTTAACTATATACCTAAACTGGGTGAGATAAAATGTTCTCTTCCCTCTTTGAATCAATGTGGGCTTGTTGGACAAGAGTACCAGAGGAAATCCCCTAAGCATGGTGGATCCCCAAAAAGATATGTCCACATCTTGGAAGTTGTGAATGTGACCTTATTTGGGAAAAGGGTCTTTGTAGCTATAATTAAGTTATGAATTCCGGCAAGGAGGTGCAGAGGAAAAATGGCCCCAAAATCCTTTGGAGGGAGCATGGCTCTGCTGACACATTGATTTCAGACTCCTAGTCTCCAGAGCTATCAGAGAATACGTTTCTCTTATGTTAAGCCACCAACGTTGTAGTACTTTGTTACCACAGCCCTGGGAAACAAATTCAAATCTCTTTAAGAACACGAGAATTTTATAATGTGGAACTCTCTTCAGGGAACAGAAACATTTATTAAGTACCACTGCGGCAGGTACTGGCTAGATGCTTTACTAAGTGATGAAGGATGAAGAAACTGAGGGCAAAAGTCTCACAGTGACCACATGGGGAGCTGGGTGAGAATCTTACTGAGAGGCGGTATGATGAGTATGGAGATCTGGGTCTGGATCATGTCTGGGTTTGATCCTGGCTAAGTTACCCACTTGGACTCAGTTTCCTCAACTGGAAATTAAGAATCATAAAAGAACATAAGATTTCTGGGAAGATGAAAAAGTGTAAGGTATTAGAATAATATATAAGGGCTAAATGAACATTAACTGTTATGATTACTGACACTAGACTACACACTACATTACTACACACTACACACTATACTAATCCTACTAATCAAAGCCTTAGCTATGGACACCAGGCATAGATTAAAAGAGAATGAACTCAACTTTAAAACAAGTCATCTGAACTTTAGCAGTTATTACATTAGAGGCCACTTTTAGAGGGAGTCTTCTCTAGTATTTTATTCAGTTCTGGTGTGGCTGTCATAAAGAAGATAAAAAATATACCCCCTCATTTTAAAGATAAGAAAACTGAAGTTCATTATCTTTTTGTACCTTGCTCATTGTCAAGAGCCAAGGAGGAAATGGCAATGGGGTTCAGTCCTAGAATTCTCTCACTCCAAAGTGGTCTTTCTGTCACACTGCACTCGGCCCCTGTGACAATACTCTGAACATGCTAATGTCCAAGGAGTGGTTTTTGAATTTTAAAATCGGGCCTCATTGTCAATAACTTTAAAGTAATATTGGAGCTTCCCAAACTATTTTGAAATGAAGAAATTGTGGCCCACCATTTCAGGATCATAAATGGCAAAGGAAAGGATTAAGAAACACTCACTTGAGAAGATAAATCTATTCCTTTTTGTCCTCACCCCTACTCTTTTTCCCGTTTACCACAGATTTCATAAAAGTGGTCAGGCAACTAGTGATAATCTAGGTTTATTTTTATTTTATTTCCTTTCCTTTCTTAAAACAGAAGGGAAATGAATGTCCTATCATAAGCACGGATCATCCTCACTTTCACACTTAACATTTTTGAAAGAAAAGGTTTTCATTTTGTCATATTTCTCAATTTGTCCCATCTAGTTAACTAAATACTTATTAAGACACTTACTCCTCTCTTGTATCAAAGGTCTTTCAGGATAAGCTACTGCTCCATTTAAATAAAAGATGAAGGATACTGAAACAGAAGCAGCCTTTAGGCAGCAGACCCATAAATAAGAAAGTAGCTGGTGCTATGCAATCCTGACCCTGGCACTTGTACTGGGCTGGCCTAACCTGAAGGTTAGCACTTGGTGGGGGGAAGGGGGGGAGGGGACGAGGAGGGGGTGCATCTATAAACCCCTTGAAATGTTTGCAGATTTTGCATAAACATTTTTTGACATACACTTCAGAGGAGCTGTGATATCTGGAAGCTAAGAATTGCTGTTTCAAGGCCTCATTACTAAAGCTAATTGCTACATTTTATTCCTTTATATGATCTTAAATGCCACGTAATATCAATGTTTGTTCGTTGCTTTTGTGAGAATCAGAAGCTCCATGTTGTTAAAGATGTCATGTTGTATCAATAGGGTCAGATTTCTAAAAGTGGGACTCCATGATCTAATCAGAAGAATTTACCTGCCCAGGAGGGCCCAGATCTGGGTTCTTGTCCTTCTTCCTCTGTGGAATTGATCCTGTGTGGGTCACTTCTCTTCTCTGGGTTGCTGTTTTTTCATCTGTGAAATAAAAATTGGGATTAACCCAGTTGCCATCAAATTTTAAAACAATTCTGTTCCATGTTGGTGTGCCTGGGTGGCTCAGTTGCTTGTGTATCAACTCTTGATTTTGGCTCAGGTCATGATCCCGGGGTCACGGATTGAGCCCTGAGACATGCTCTGTGCTGAGCATGGAGCCTGCCTGGGATGTTCTCTCTCCCTTCCTCTACCCCTCTCCTCCACTCACACACACACACACACACACACACACACACACACACACTTTCTCTAAAATAAAATTTTAAAAAATTAATCAAGTAAAATTTAAAAATAAATAAATAAAAATTTTGTTCCATGTAAAAGATTAGGAAGCCTCTTAAATGATTTCCCACAAAATTCTAGACTACTATAAAAATAAGGCAAAAGAAGTTAGCCATACTTTAAAAATTATTTTTAGGGATGCCTGGGTGGCTCAGTTGGTAAAGCATCCGACTTCAGCTCAGGTCATGATATGGTTCGTGGGTTCGAGCCCCGCATCAGGCTCTGTGCTCACAGCTAGCTCAGAGCCTGGAGCCTGTTTCAGATTCTGTGTCTCCCTCTCTCTCTCTCTCTCTCTCTCTCAGAAATAAATAAAAACATAAAAAAAATTTAGGAGATAATCATAGTTTAAAAAAATATTTTTAGAGAAGGTTACAGTTTGAGAACATGCCATTGACTAGTGACATCTGAATGTAGTTGGAGGACTATAAAGTGCCACATTATCATCTATAGCAAGGTTGAGGGGAGGTCCCAAGTGGGACAGAGATAGAGGCTAAGAGCCCTGCATCTTGCTTCTATCAGAGCAACCAGCTTTTTAATCTGCTTTACATAGTGGGTTTCTGAGTAAGATTTTGTTTGTAGAAAATGTTTTTTGATTTTAATTAGTCTCTGTTGATATCTATGCAGGGAGCAGTGGGTAGAAAAAGGAAAAAGAAATGAAGTTAATTATTATATTTAAAATCAGGTTTTGAAAAGGCACTGGAAACAGAGTCAGAAGCCCTAAGACTTGTTTCTTATTTTTCTCATTTATTAGCTGTGTCACATTAGGCAAGTCAGACAGTTTTTCTGAATCTCTGTCCTCACATACAGAATGATAAAGGTATCTTATTTACAGGGTAATTGTAAGAATCTTATGAAATGTTTGTGAAAGAGCTTCATATGGTAAAGTAACATAAAGTTGGGATTCAAGCCCCATGTTGGGCTCTGTGCTGACAGCTCAGAGCCTGGAGTGTGCTTTGGGTTCTGTGTCTCCCTCCATTCTCTCTCTGCCCCTCCCCCACTCATACTGTACCTCTCTGTCTCTCTCTCAAAAATAAATAAACATGAAAGGAAGAAAGAAATTTGCAGATAAGTCCAAGTTATAGGGTGGAGTTATAAAAGACTGCAGATTACGGGAGCGCCTGGGTGGCTTAGTCGGTTAAGCGTCTGACTTTCGCTTAGGTCATGATCTCGCGGTTCATGGGTTTGAGCCCTGAGTCGGGCTCTGTGCTGACTGCCAGCTCAGAGCCTGGAGCCTGTTTCAGAGTCTGTTGACTCCCTCTCTCTCTGACCCTCCCCTGCTCACGCTGTCTCTCTCTCTCTCTCTCCTAGAAATAAATAAAACATTAAAAAAAAAAAAAAGACTGCAGATTATGGAGTTCCAAGTATGGTCAAACTTTGGGGGAAATATAAAGTCTTGTTCTTCAGTTCAGAAAGTCATTTGGGGGCACCTGGTTGGCTCAGTTGGTTAAGTATCTGATTCTTGCTTTCAGTTCAGGTCATGATCTCACAATTTGTGGGATCAAGCCCCGTGTTGGTCGGGCTCCAGTGCAGAGCCTGCTGGGGATTCTCTCTCTTCTCTCTCTGCACCCCCCCCCCCCGCTCATGCACAGGAGTTCTTGCTCTCAAAATAAATAAATGAACTTAAAAAAAAAAACATGAAAAAAAAGTCAATTGTCCAAGAGTAAGATGGAGGAAATGTGGCCTATGATCAGTTCAAGTAAAAAACATGAAAGAATTTAAATTGACTTCAAGTTCATTATAAGCCATTAGTGTTGTGGAAAGGTTGGCACATAAATAAGTGATCTAATTGTCTCAGTCCATTTGGGCTTTTCTAGGATGCCACAAACTGGGTAGCCTATAAACAAGAGTAATTTATTTCTTACAGTTCTAGAGACTAAGTCCAAGATCAAGGTGCCAGCATCACTGTCGTTCTGGTGAAGGCCCTCCTCCTGGTTCATAGCTGGCACTCTCTGATGTGTCCTTACATGGTAGAAGGGGCAAGAGATCTCTCTGGAGCCTCTTTCATAAGATCACTAATCCCATTCATGAGGGCGCTCCGTTCTTATGACCTAAGAACCTCTGAAGGCCCCCCATCTCCTACTCACTTCGGGGGTTCTGATTCAACATGGATTTTGGGGGATATCTTGGGACCACAATACCAATATTCTTCTGTATTTACAGAAGTACTGTGCCATGGATGACAAAAGGGGGCTACAGTCTTGGCTTTGATTAGCATCCTTCTTCCAGCTGGTATAGGTGGTTACTGCAGCATGTTGAGCACACCCAAAGGAAGCTAGAGAAAGTCTGGAAGGTTTTCAAGGGCAACGCTGAGAGAAGATTTGGGGAGAGAAACTTATGTTTTAAATGTGTTACAGGCTATGATGGAGGTGAAGGTTTGGAATTGTTTTATTGTTTTCAGAGGTGAATCTCAGGAAAAACTTTAAACAATAAGAGCTATCTAAAGGGGAAACAATTGCCTGGTTGAAGGAGTGAGATTTCCATCAGGGAAACTGTTCAAGCAGACTGGACCACACCTTCTGAAGGTTGCTACCAATCAGCAGGAGGGTTTTAAGAAAATATTACTAAGATTTCATCAAATCTAAGATCCTATTTCTACAACAGAATTCAGTATCCCACTAGAGAATGATTTGCTTCATTAAATTGTTTTTTGCCATAATAAAAGTGTGGGTTTTGAAATTGACAACCTGGAGTTTGCTACTGTATGATATTCAAAATGTTGTTTAACCTCTGGGAACATCAGTTAGGTTGTCAGTAGCACAAAGATGAGTATCTCTGTGTTGCTGCAAAGATGACACAACACAACATTGGTAAAGGTGCTTCATGCTGCTCAGAGAGTAAGGGTTCAGAGAGAATAACTTACCACATTTATTATCTTTTCCTCTTATTTTCTACATGCTTCTTATTTCCAGTCGTAAGAGATTCCTTTCAAGTGACTCAACTGGACCCTTCAGAGACATAAGTCTCTGTAAGTGGGTCAAATGGTGACTCCCATGAGTCTGGGAGAAAGTATTCACTCCGAAATTCACAGGGGTACTATATCACCTCTTTCATGTTTGCATCAATGTTTGTTTTCTCCTAAAAGGAGGAAACCTGTGGAACAAGTCCTTTGTCCCAAATTATAACCTGATTTTCCTGCCCTTCAAAACCAGAACTAGGGCAACCTGATTGATTTCTTTTCTTTGTTTAACATTTTAGGCAATAAAATATCTTATTAAAAATTTAAGGACCAAGTTCTCCCTTGTGGAGTAAAGTATCTGCAGCCTCGAGGAATAAAAAGAGTTGGTAATTGAAGTATCGGGGTCAGTGATGTATTCTTTCTATGCCTATTTTTTTCTATCAACAGAGTGATTCTATGCTAATTTTACTTAACATTTACTCCCCAATTGATGCGGTAGTAAAGGAGAAGCAGTTTACTATTCTTAAGAGAAGATGAACAACATGACACTCCTCCATGGTTAGGAAAGAGGCCATGTGAATTCTCTCTGACAGAAGTAGAGGGAGGCAGTAAAGACGCTGGGTTTCCATAGGTTGGTCACAGGTTGGCTTTTGGTCTCAGTTAGAAGGTAATAGGGAACTGCCTACGAGGAGACACTGATAATTCTGACTAAAGATCTCACTCAAGAAGAGAATTATTCAATTTTCAAAAGAAATGAAAAAGATACTTTAACACTCTTTAGGTTTATTCTTTTTAAGTTTATTCATTTATTATTTCTGATAGAGAGCAAGAGTGAGCACAATTGGTGGAGAGGCAGAGAGAGAGAGAGGGAGACACAGAATCGGAACCAGGCTCCAGGCTCTGAGCTGTCAGCACAGAGCCTGAGGTGGGGCTCAAACCCACCAACCATGAGATCATGCTTTAAGCCGAAGACGGATGCTTAAACAATTGAGCCACCCAGGTACCCCACACTCTAGGTTTAGATAAAACTCAACTTCACATTTTGTTTTTGCTTTTCTTTCTTCTGTATGAGTGAACAGTTGATGCCTGTGGGGCATGACATTCTATGAAGCATAAGCATATTGCAGAACAGGGATTCTGTACCACGGATGAGCTGGTACTTTGGCCACCTAAAGGGGACGTCTGGGTGTGAGGACAGTAGAGTTATTATTGCTCCAGAAAAATTGCTTTTGAAGTGCCGTCTTGAGCTGCTTTCCTTCTTTTGCTAGTCCTTTTAATTTTTTTGTTCAACATCCTACTTCTATTAATTCCCCAATTCTCTTCTTAATCTTTTCAGAGATCTTGAACTCAAAATGATCACTTTAGCCTGGAATTCCTACTTGACATCCTTTGATCCTATAATGGAGCTGAAAAGGCAGGGATGCAATGTTTAAATAGCAAACTGTCACCCAGGAAACTACCATTCTACTTTGGTAATAATAGCAGAGAGTATTTATTGAACAATTTATGTCCCAGAACTTTGCTAACTACTTTATATATATTACCTTATGTAGTTCGCCTAATAACACTATAATGGAAACACTATTTCTATAACTATTGAACAAATGAGGAAACTGAGACACTGGGAGATTTAAAAGCTGACTCAGTCTCACAACTAATGTAGAGTACACAACTCTTAGCCACTCTTGCCGTACTGTTTCTCGATGCAAAGAGCTTTGATCTTAACCTGGCAGATCATTAATCTACGTATCTGTCCATGCAATCCACTATTCATCAAGCATAAGCTAGAGATATAAACTATGAA